GCAAGAATTCTTTAGAGCATAGGCAATTTACAAAATGAGAGTCTGACATTCTATTTTACACTTGTAGCTGTCTTGTGGGTAGACTCTCTTTGGCTCCCCCTCTTGCATGCCCCCGATTCCTAGCCAGGATGCATTAAGATGGGTAAGATCTCAAGTTTAAGTAGCAGCTCTAAGCTCTAGTTCCTTGTCTGGCCCCTTTGGAATCAGCTACATCACCTCCTCTTAAGGGACAGGCAACGTGCTCCCTTCAGTTTTCTTAGCCTAACTGCATTAGTGAGACAAAGGTGGTTTTCTAAGTGCCAGCGTTGTACAATCCTATCTACAATAAAGCTCAGCGTAAAGTCTGTGTGGTTTCCTTTTAAGAACTGCCTACCATGCTTTATTATACTCATTCCTTGAGTTCTCATTATCTACTTGCAAATTTATTTGGAGGAATGTTGCGTGCAATTATGTTCTTTTAGAAAATTGTCTCTTTTATGTACTTGGATGAGTGAAAAAAATCATGCCGAAGCACTTAAACTCCTACAGCAGAAGAATAAGCGTAGCTGCCGAGTGTTGAGTTTCAATTTCTCATCTTACATTTTGTCAGGGAGACAGTTATTAGTCTGTCAGGTTTGGGATCTTTCTTTTCTTTTTTTTTTTTAATGCCTGGAAAAGGAAAGCCACACTAGAGATACTGAAATTAAAACTGCCAATACCAAAATGCTGATCACCTCCTTAATCATCCAGGTTTCTTAACTTTACAGGCAAACAAAATACACTGGCAAAACTGTTGCTCCTCTACTATCTGCATGGTAAGCTTGCACACTTACTCACACTCGAGCTTTGGAAATTACCATGCACACACAATTACAGTTTCTCTGTTTCTTAAAACTAACCTAGACTTCTTCACAAAACTCCACTGAATAGAATTTTATTTAAGTCTATTTTAATTCAGTCAATTAAATGTAGTCTGCTTCTACTTCAATAATTTAAACATTGTCTGTCAGAGTTCAACCACATTATTACCTTTAAAATCTCAGTCTGTCAGATTTGACCGCCATCTACTCCTCCTCCCCACCTCCCACCCCTGTCTTCCTCCGGAGGGAGACCAGGAGAGTAGGAGACAATGTGGGTTATGGGACCTCGGGGTGAAAGAGATGGGATCCATCTTCCTGTTTCTTGCTGGTCCCTGCCTTGGCGTGATGGCTTCGTCTGCTTCCTGGACCACTGAGCATTAACAGGTCACCTGGAATACATACACTGACAGGGTCCCTAAGGGTACAGTATGTTCTTAAAGAGTACTCTTAAAAGCTGTGTGCAAGAGTTTTCAGGGAGTTTTTCTTTCTGGTGACATCTAAGATAAATAACATATATATATAGGTATATACACATTGTATAATTAAGATGACCACCTTAAACCCCGATAACCAAGTGCTAACACCCAGTTTCTATGCCCATATTTCCACTTGCATTGATGTTCACTTTGGCAACCTCAGTTGTCCTGGAGCAAAGGAGGAAAACCAAAAGAAAAGGGGAGCCAGTACTTAAAGTGATATCTCAGCATTCTTTATAAATGGGGTCTTTCAATAATTCAGACATAGAAATGAGGTTGGCTGTTTGAATCATCTCATGGTACTTAGAAAGCTAAACGTGTTCAATGCAAAAGAAAAACAAGAAAACAAAAACCCTAAACTGCAGCAGTTTGTACAAAACTTACATTGAGAATACCAGTTGACTTACACTAAAGCATCATCTCTCACGTAAAATTAAAGTAGTAGGTTGGAATTGTAATGAATTTGTTGTTTTGCGTGTCTCGTAAATTTTTGCTTTCTGGAGTTAAACGTTTGCAAGTCAACCCTGGTGGAGCCACGAGAGGTTTTTTGTTTGTTTGTTTGTTTGCTTTTTTTCATTAAAATGGATTGTGCCTTTCCAGTAAAAGGGTCTGTTAGCTCCTCCCCCAGTATTTCTAAGGCCTGTTAATAATGAGGCAATTTCGTTTTGAGTTTGAAACTCTTTCTATGTTTCTACATCTGGAGCCAGGATTCTTCAATGTTAGTTTGTTGTATCCCTTTCCTTTTCAGATAAAGTTGTCTGACTTTGGTTTCTGTGCTCAAGTTTCCAAAGAGGTGCCGAAGAGGAAGTCACTGGTTGGCACACCCTACTGGATGGCACCTGAGGTGATTTCTAGGCTGCCTTATGGGACAGAGGTAAGGGGGTGACAGTCATCGGGAGTGGCAGGACCCAGGCAAGCTCGGGGATACAGTGGTTCCGAGATAACTAATGACCACAGGAGATCAGGGTGATGACTTTCAACTCCACATTTCACTGGACTTGTCACCAAGCAGTTTGTGGCAGAAGGGAGACTGGCCGCCACGGAGGCTGTTGCCACAGCATTGATCCAGGAGTGTTTACTGAGGTCCTCAGCGGACATTGGAGCAGAATCACTCCGACTCACATCTCTCCCTCAGTGCCAGGTGCACACAAAGACAAAAGCAAGGCGATGCGGCCGGGGATGCACAGATGAGCAGTGTGATGATTTAGAGGATGGAGGGTCAGAGAAAGCTCCACAAGATTGGGGTTAATATTTGGATCAGAAAGAATGTTTTCCCATAGGCAAAATCATCTGCGAGTACCGTAACATATTTAAGATATGGCACATGTTTTGTTTCCTCTGGAAAGAAAACTGTCGCTCATCATCTGTTAAGGGACAAGGTTTGGATACATAAGCAGAGGAGGGCCTTCTAGAGAGGGAATAGCGTGAGCAGAAGTTCTGAGGCTTACAAGACCACACACACACACACACACACACACACGGAGGCAAGGGTTGGTTTTGCCTGGGCACACAATGTTTCCACACATCATGGTGCAGAAGGCAATTCTAAGAGAGGAAAAGGCACAGACCAATGAGCGAAGGACAGTGGCAGAGTTAAGGCGGACTCTGCTCTCTTTCCCATGTTTGCTTGCCCTTGGGTGAACACTCAACTGGTTTATCTCGCTGTGGTCCCGAGAGCATAAATTCTCAGTGAAGGTCACTGCGCAGGTGATGGCAGGAATGCAGCTGACTGATAAGAAGGGTAATGAGGCTGTAAAAGGGATGCAACTGTACCAGAGAATTTATAGCCCAGCTCCGGCTCCACCTTGTCCTGACTTCCCATTCTTTACCCAGAAAGGAGGGCTTGTCGTCTCCTCCTTTCCTTTTCTTCGTTCCCAGAACATGGTTTTATATAGCAGAGTTTTGTGCAGGCTGCTTCAAAGTGATAACACACAAAGGAAAGAACCCCAAAGGGGAGGCAAAGAACTGTTCTTAAAAATCAAATTAATGAAAGAATCAGGATCTATTGTGTAGTGCAGTGTAGCTCTTTGTGGTCTGTTGTGAATATGTCAAGAATCTTCTCCTATTTTTTAAATGGTTTAATGCAACTACTTCTCTGTCCAAAACATAAAACTTTGGATGGTCTTCTCATCTGCCCTGATAGACTGTGAACCACCTGAGTTACCAGAGTTAAAAAAAAAAAGAAGAAGAAGTTCTAAACATCAGAGTATTAAAACATTCACTATATCTCATTGTCGGAATCTTCATTGAAGTTGCCTTTAAAAAGCAAACACAGACCATTAGCAAACACTGGGTCACTCAACAATTTAGCTGTAAATCTGAATTGTCAATTTTGAGAGGTTACAAATATCACATTAATTTACAGATAAGTATGAATCTTTGGGTTCCCTGGACACAGCCAACGTTTCGGGACATTCTCCTTGCCTGAGATAATCAGTGGGTTGTCCTAACAGGTGGACATCTGGTCCCTCGGGATCATGGTGATAGAGATGATTGATGGCGAGCCCCCCTACTTCAACGAGCCTCCCCTCCAGGCCATGCGGCGGATCCGGGACAGCTTACCTCCGAGAGTGAAGGACCTGCACAAGGTGAGAAGCAGCAGCCACTGCTGAAGTTCTAAAGCGTTATTCAGTGTAGTTCTAAAGATTGACCTCTCCCAGGAGTAGATCCTGGCTCACAGGCATGGACTTTGGAATATGAGTTGCTTGGATTCCAATCTCTGTTCCCTCCTCTTGTTCATTCATTGGGTATGTGAATCAGCCCCTCAGTCTCTGAAGTCCATCTGTAAAATGGGGGCACCCAGCTCCTCTCTGTAGGGTCGGCTAGAGGAGTAGATCGGTGCTCCACTCACCCCACTTCATCCAGAGCCCATCGCTTGCTGGGGAGTGTTTGAATTGCCGGGACATCGCAGCACAAGACCCCAGATTTCCTGACTCTCATAGGGGTTTTATTCTAGTTGGGGAGGCAGATAATAAACTACAGACAAATGGATGGATAAAAAAAATTTCAGAGAGTGGCACATGCTACGAAGCGAATAAAACAGGGTTGGAAAAAAAACAGGGTTGGAGCGTGTGCGAGAGGGGACTGGGAGCTAGTTCTGGTTGAGGAACAAAGGACGCTCTTTCTAGGGAGGGATCTATGTGGCCTGGAGCCTGATGGGAAAGAAGGAGCAAAGCAGGCAGAGATCTGGGGGGAAAACGTCTCAGGCAGAGGCAGGAGCAGTGCGAAGACCCTCAGCCTGAGCGAGGTGAGCAAGTGGAAAGGGTGAAGGAGGGGGTAGGCAGGGGCCAGATCATGCAGGGCAACAAGGAATGTGGTTAAAGGACCAAGTAGGGTCTTTCCTGCTTGCCAAGGATTGACAGGTAGGGCCAAGCTCAGCAAAAATGATGCTCGGTCGAAGAACCACCATTGTGGGGCCCACCCCTGGGGGCCAAGCTTGCTGAGAGGTGCCATATAAACTATAAACGCTGACCCCACACACCTCCCCTCCCATCCGCCTCCTGACAGTAAGAGAGGGGGTGAGGCTGCCCTTGGGGAGACGGGGGAATAATTTGTAATCGTAGCATCTCCTCTTCCCTCACCCCTAAACCTTAGGGGAGAGCCCCAGTAGAATCACTCAGATAGGCTGTGTGGACTTGCAAACAAAAGGGGAGGCTGCTTGAATTGAACAGGAGGTTGAAACTTTTACTGCACTGGACTCAGTTTAAACAACTAAAAGTGGCTAAAGTAGTCATGGTATCAAATAGTCAAATAGTTCTCACACCCAATACACACGAGTGTGATGTTCTTCAAAGTCATGGACAAACGCTGATCTCATCCTAACGGTCAAAAACTGAAACATAGAAAATAAACTTATAGGTACCAAGGGGGAGGGGTGGAGGGATAAATTGGGAGTTTGAGATTCGTAGATATTGACATATATATATATAAAATATATATAAATAGATAAAAAACAAGTTCCTACTGTATGGCACAGGAATCTATATTCAATACCTTATAATAGTCTATAATGAAAAAAAATGAAAAGGAATATGTATATATATCTGAATCACTCTGTTGTGCACCAAAAATTAACACAACATTGCAAATCGACTATACCTGAATTAAAAAAAAAACAAAACCCAAACTAGAAACCATCCAAGACTATTTTTGAAATGGATAAATACTATGTGGTATAATTCAGCAGCGAATACTACACAGAATTGAAAATGCGATAACTTTTGCCACACATTTCAAGGGTGAATCTCACAGACACATTGTTGAGTGAAAGAATGCAGACAGAAAGGGGTTGAAAGCGTATGATTCCATTTCTATAAAGAACAAAAGCAGGTAAAGTTAATTTATGTTCTTAGAAGTCGGGATAGTGGTGAGCCTTTGCAGGGAGGTGGGTATTGACCAGAAGAGGGCCCTAGATAGGCTCCTGAAGGTGGAAATATTCTCTATTTTGATAGGGGCGGGGAGTAAGTACGTGTTGAAGGGAACTGCTATAGTGCACCAGAAACTAACACAACGTTATAAGTCAACTGTACTTCAATTAAAAAAGAAAAAAAATTAAAACTACTGTGAAACATACATTTAATATGTATGCCCGTGAACACATGTAAGCTATACTTCAAAAAGTAAATTACGAGAAATTAATTACAGAAGTCTGTTTCTCTTCAAGAAGAGGATTCCACAAAGCCCAGATGGCTGCGGTTGTTAGCCAAGTAAAACTCATTCCGTGTTTGCACCACGCTTCATCAAACGTGTGTGATCCACGCCTGCACACAGTAGGCGCTTCATAGTAGCTGCTACTGTCACTATTATTACCGGTATCACTTCATTTACTAAATAGTCACTCTTTGTTGTGCCGTCATTTACTCCTGTACTTCAGACTTGAAGAAGGTGAGGACATCACGTGCTAAGAAAGGCAATATCTGCTTTTGCTTCCATAACATCTTTCTCCTCAAGCTGGCTTTCCAGAGTTTGATGTTGTGGATAGAATGACTTTCCTGGGAATTTGTAGGGAAAGCATTTTAGGGGAACTGAGCGGGGTTTCCGTGTTAGTCTTCAGGATGGTATCTTGTGTCTTCACAGGTTTCTTCAGTGCTCCGGGGGTTCCTAGACCTGATGCTGGTGAGGGAACCCTCTCAAAGAGCCACAGCCCAGGAGCTCCTCGGGCATCCATTCCTGAAGTTGGCAGGTCCACCATCTTGCATTGTTCCCCTCATGAGACAATACAGGCATCACTGAGCAAAGGATTCACACAGGTGACGAAGCTAGATGAGGACATGAGAATAATTCAGAGAGCGTGCAAAAGGCCTGTGTATTCCAGACCAGCTGACCAGTGGGACCGCGTGATGACCGGCAGGGTTCAGCAGACTAGGGCATCTTCTTGTGTCTTAAACAGGCATCTCTCCGCTGACAGCTGGCATGGTCATCTGGAACATGGCTTTAACAAGTCATTATTATATTTTTTAGCCCTTCATCCAGCAAATCAGAAGGACTCAGTACAAACTCCGTTACGATATATCCTAGCCACATGCAGGGTAACGTGTAGGATTTTCTATATTGAAAGAATACTTTTCTGGCAAAAAAAAAAAAAAAGAAAGGAAAACAAAAAGCACTTTTTCTTAATGGTAGCAGTGTAATGTATTTTGCAATGAATTTGTAATTTTTCTGTACGATAGTTTTGATAATTTATAGTACTTTGATGTCACGTAGCCATTGTATCAGTTGAAGTACAACTTGTTTACTAGCAAGAGTTTGAACAAAGTCTTTCCTACTTTTTTATCCCTTTCAGAGAACCAACGATTCTTTAGGAACTTTGAATACCGAATGACTCTCAATCACCGTCAGCTTTAGTAGAATATCTTTCTTATCTTAACAAGTGTCTTATGTGATGGAAGAAGACTTAAGAGTGATGGTGATGGTGATGGTGGTGCACGTTTCATTTATCCAACCAAAAATAGTAAAATAAAATTTGAGCCACAGTATACCACCAAAACTACTCCTTGGGATAAAGCTAAATATTTTGGGGGAAAAAAATCATGTTTTCTTTCAAGCCTATTAGTAGCAGGGCATCTTTTGCACAGCGGGATGTCTCCCCGAGTACCCTCTAGTAAGTGGCTACGATGTCCCCTTGTGGCCAAATCCTCCCCCCACCCCCCACCGAGGAACAGTTTTAGTGCTAGGATCATTTGGACTCAGTTTCCCAAACTGAATGTTTCAATCGGGCTGTGAGAATTCCAGTCTCACAAAGGGAAAAGGGAGAGAACAGGGCAAGAGGTTTGGTTTTGTTTGTCACTGTTTTCAAAACTCTGTACGCTGGCGCACCAAACTCTTGTCTGTAAGTACCTTTGTACCACAGTATTGATCGCTACTGTTTATGTATCGTGCTGGAAGTCCGGACTCTAGAGGGTGAATTAGGAAGAGGGTATTTACCAGGTGTGATCTGAATTCAGTTGTGACCATGTTATGTGTTTCCGACATAGG